AAGATATTTTCAGTAAAAACTTACACAATGTCTCTTTTTATTTTTTTTTCTATTTATTAAGACTGATCTTTTTGTTTACTATCCTTAACCATCTCCCCCCTTTTTTTTTTATTTGAGCACCTGTCCCTTGAAGTTCTCTGCACGCCCCTGACAAAGATCCGCAATCAAGTGCAAAAATAAATAAATAAAAGAAACTAAATAATAGCTATAGTTCATGGGATGTAACGGATAATGGAAAAACAGAATTACAAACCAGCCTTTTCAACACAGTTCTATTCAATGTGTTACTATTTTCTATTTTAAACAAACATATCAATAAATCTGTCCTTTCCTTGAAGCTACGGGACTGTTTTCCTCAAACGGCCCTTCTAACGGTCTGACTGTTGGGAAATTGAACGTTAGAGTTTCACTTCAGCAACCGAAAAAAAGCTTTTCTCTAGACCAAACACTAAAATGGACACAATCGCTCAATCTGTCTGAGAAACACGCATCATTGTTAATTAACGCTCCTCAAAGTCTGGTTAAAGTGGCAACTCACCTGACCGCTGATTGGACATCGCATTTAGACGTTTAAATCGGGTTTGCTCATCAAAACACAGCGGTTTGATCGAGCTGTGCTGTTTAACACTCAGCAATGTGACTAACAAAGTTGTTTAAAATGAAATATGATTTTAGAAAAAATCCTTGAGGAGGTTTGTCCCATCGTTCTCCTTGCAATTATTTCCCTCTCCTCGGATCTCCTCTCACCAACTGCACAGACGATCTGAGGCGCTGCGCTGCAGACATATGCTGCCTTCACGGTCTGTCCTAAAGCTCCGAAATGTCAGTACTCCCTCCGATTTCTCTGCAGCGGCGCTTCCCTTCCCTTAAAAAGCTTTATTCTGTTGTGATCAAAATAGATTTTAAATGAAAGAGTAAACCTATAACGCGGTACGTTTGATTTTATCTTGTTTTATCAATTAAACAAAAATGTTTTTATCATTTAAACTGTAACCACTGTCGTTAAATATTAATTCATATATTATTTAGTTTAGTCGTTGTGTGTGCTAATTGAAGTTTTTTTTTTTTTTTTCAAGCAAACTGAAAATTGAGTTAAAAAATATATTTAAAGAGGAATTAATCAGTAGAATTCACAGGAACATAGAGGAAAAAACCAGGAGACACTATCATCAACAACAAATATTTTAACCAGATATTGGCAATTTATAAGACATTTGTTATTTTATTTATAGGCCAGTAGCAGACTCTAGTCTCACACAAAATCTTTCTAAAAGATTTAGGGGAGTGTTGGCAAGTTGCAAGTACGGAATCCCAATGCAAGCAAAGCAAATTTATTTGTATAGCACAATTCAGTACAAAGACAACGCAAAGTGCCTCCACTCTGGGTTCCTAACCAAGCCCCTTAACCCCTGATTGCTCGCCAGGTGCCGCACAACGGTAGCCCACTGCTACCTAAGGGGATGGGTTAAATGCAGAGGTAACTTCCTCCAATGCAAGTTCAATAAAGTTCAATTACTATCCTGCTTCCATATATTTTTTAATTTTTGTGTGTTCTACTTTGTTTCTTTGCCCAGTTTGTTGGTAAAAAAAAATATTTTAATGTATACTTGAAATAAAAGCGAAGGTATGATGTTGTTCCTATGTGCAGGGAGTGAACAACAAAGTTGCAAATTGCAGCTAAGCCAGTTAGAGCCCTCGAGCAACGTTTGAAAATAATGAAGAAAAATCCAATATCTAGTGGCTTAAAATAAATTAAATTAAAAAAAGGAAAAAAAAAACATTTGATTCCAAGTGGTGTAAGATCTAGAAAGCCCTGGGTTTACAGTGTGAACCTTAGTGTTAGGAAAATTCCGGTTTTTAACACTTTTAGCCCATTTTCTGTAGTGTCCAGGATGAAATCGAATGATCGACACCAAAATTTTGACAATTGGTCCT